TCCACTTCCCATCTCCGGCTCGGTCTCAGGGTCCGATAGTGGGCGGAATAAGAGGGCCTGGGATTGCAAGCTTAAGCCAGGAGAAGCCTACGGGTGCTTCCACCAAGCGCGTACGCTCGAGTCTGGGTTTCTTAACGCCGGCAGCCGTAGCCTTCTTCTGCTTTTCGTTGTCCGCTAGAGCTTGTTCTTGTGCGTTACGGTCTGCCGGTATGGCAAACTCGCTGCGCTTGTCTTTGTCTCCACGTTGCCTCGCTCCGCTCATCTTAACGCTTCGCGGTTGTACTAGTTGGCATGGCCCGCAAAGCTAGGAACCGAGTGTCATCATATTTGCTTTTACTGAACCCACTAGGGTGAGCCCAGCGGCCTTACGGCCACACTTTTTGCGGTGATGTAGTTTGTGCAATGGTTATCATGCAGCCAAGCTCGTTTTTGTAAGCTCCTTTTATGGTAACGTAGTGTCTGGTATGGCCTGGTCGGTATCGTCAAGGTCCTTTTCGAATACGATGTTTTTGGTGTCGTACGTCTGTCCACACTCGACTTTCGAATTGAGAGCCGAGATTTTTGATAAATGCACGCGCTTGAACGCGTGCCGTCGCGACGGAGAGCTGTCCGTTCGCGAAAACTGGTTCCGGTAGTTAGACGCCAACTTCAGGTACCGTCTGAGCCTGTGACTTGTTAATAGTCATCGCTAATGCGAGACGAACGGGGAAGTGCAGACGCTTAAGTTGGAACGGCAGAGTGTTGTGCGGACCGTCGTTGATGAGCAAGATGCGAGGTATGAGAACGACATCGCCAGCTTGCGTGCCAGCCGAATTTCGTAGGCTGAATGCACAGGTCACGCAATGCCTGCACAACGAGTCGCGTTCCGTTGCACAAACCGCGACATTGGCACAGGTTACGCAGGAGCATGACACTAACGTTGACCTTGAGCTCGAGACGGTGAGGAGTGAAGCCAGCGATGTTGATGGAGTTGAGGTCTCAACGGGGTAGTTGATAGCCGCTTCTTCTTGTAGCCGATTGTCGTCGTCGTTTGTTGTTGCAACTTGTACCTCGTCTTCGAGAGCTTCATAACTGTGGGCAGACGTTTAAACGCGCTGGTCAGGTACCAAGCGATGACGTCGTAATTTAGCGCCAAAATGGCACTTTAAGCATGGTACGCTGGTAGCAGATGGATGGGAATAAAAGCAAGCTCTGGGTACATGAAATATATCAAGTAGGTAACCACAGCGGGGAGTGGCTGTCGATGACGATGTCTTCTGGTTGGCAGATGTACTCTTCACCAAAGCCGCGGTGTGCTGCCTGATCGTGGCCATAGACAACGGCACTATTTGTCATCACATGCAAGTAGACCTAGGCCCTGACACACTTCCTTGACGGTAGCGTGAACAACACCGTGGACAGTGCGCAGATCTTTGTACAACGTAGTCTCGCGCCGAAGTTACAGGAGCGATCGTATGGGATACCGCTTGCCTTCCTATGGGAGAACGGGTACTTTCTGCCGAAAGCACGGTTTCATTGACGCATGCGAGGTAACCAATGACCTTCATTCGCCGTTTGCCGTTTGCCATGTGTAATAGAGACGAATGTGGCTGTGAAGTCGCGTTCTTGGTGATATTCCATCGTCAGGAATGCTCACAAGATGAGGTAATAAAAAGGCCATGAACGTCGTCCGTTGGTTGCTACGAACTCGCGCGCCCGTGCCGTTCATAGCTCCCGGCACGAAACGCAAAGCTTGCTTACACTCCTTGTGTACAGTGAACGAGGCGTACGACGCTGTGCGCATCGGCGTGACTCCCATGATACGCATTGGAGCCTCTGGAGCCGTGATGTATCGCCCGCCCAGGACAGCTTGACCTCATCGATAGCGTGACCGACGTGGTATGCAATGCGAGAGTGACA